AATGGATTGAAACTTTGCATAAATATTCTAGTGCTTAGAAAAAAATACAAATAAAACATCCTAAAATTTTTTTGAGCACAGAACCAAGTAGGAAATACATTTTCAATTTTGGACTAGGGGCGACCCTAGTCAAAATCAATTTTGTCACTTTTTTCTTCGAAAGTTTATCCAAATGGATTGAAACTTTGCATAAATATTCTTGTGCTTAAAACAAATACAAATAAAACATCTTAAAATTTTTTTGAGCAAAGAACCAAGTAGGAAATACATTTTCAATTTTTGACTAGGGCGACCCTAGTCAAAATCAATTTTGTCACTTTTTTCTTCGAGCGTTTTTCAAATGGATTGAAACTTTGCATAAATATTCTAGTGCTTAGAAAAAAATACAAATAAAACATCCTAAAATTTTTTTGAGCACAGAACCAAGTAGGAAATACATTTTCAATTTTGGACTAGGGGCGACCCTAGTCAAAATCAATTTTGTCACTTTTTTCTTCGAGGGTTTATACAAATTGATTGAAACTTTGCATAAATATTTTAGTGCTTAAAGCAAATACAAATAAAACATCCTAAAATTTTTTTGAGCAAAGAACCAAGTAGGAAATACATTTTCAATTATGAACTTGGGACAGGTATAGTCAAAATCTAGTTTTTCATTTTTTTTTCGAAGGTTTATCCAAATGGATTGAAGCTTTTTATACAAATTTATACAAATAAAACATCCTAAAATTTTTTTGAGCAAAAAACCAAGAAGGAAATACATTTTCAATTTTGGACTAGGGGCGACCCTAGTCAAAATCAATTTTGTCACTTTTTTCTTCGAGGGTTTATACAAATGGATTGAAACTTTGCATAAATATTCTAGTGCTTAAAACAAATACAAATAAAACATCCTAAAATTTTTTTGAGCAAAGAACCAAGTAGGAAATACATTTTCAATTATGAACTTGGGACAGGTATAGTCAAAATCTAGTTTTTCATTTTTTTTTTCGAAGGTTTATCCAAATGGATTGAAGCTTTTTAAAAATATTCTAGTGCTTAAAACAAATACAAATAAAACATCCTAAAATTTTTTTGAGCAAAAAACCAAGAAGGAAATACATTTTCAATTTTGGACCTAGTCAAAATCAATTTTGTCACTTTTTTCTTCGAAAGTTTATACAAATGGATTGAAACTTTGCATAAATATTCTAGTGCTTAAAACAAATACAAATAAAACATTCAAAAATTTTTTTGAGCAAAGAACCAAGTAGGAAATACATTTTCAATTTTGGACTAAGGGCGACCCTAGTCAAAATCAATTTTGTCACTTTTTTCTTCGAGGGTTTATACAAATGGATTGAAACTTTGCATAAATATTCTTGTGCTTAAAACAAATACAAATAAAACATTCTAAAATTTTTTTGAGCAAAGAACCAAGTAGGAAATATATTTTCAATTTTGGACTAGGGGCGACCCTAGTCAAAATCAATTTTGTCACTTTTTTCTTCGAGGGTTTATACAAATGGATTGAAACTTTGCATAAATATTTTAGTGCTTAAAACAAATACAAATAAAACATCCTAAAATTTTTTTGAGCAAAGAACCAAGTAGGAAATACATTTTCAATTTTTGACTAGGGCGACCCTAGTCAAAATCAATTTTGTCACTTTTTTCTTCGAAGGTTTATCCAAATGGATTGAAACTTTGCATAAATATTCTTGTGCTTAAAACAAATACAAATAAAACATCTTAAAATTTTTTTGAGCAAAGAACCAAGTAGGAAATACATTTTCAATTTTTGACTAGGGCGACCCTAGTCAAAATCAATTTTGTCACTTTTTTCTTCGAGGGTTTATACAAATTGATTGAAACTTTCCATAAATATTTTAGTGCTTAAAACAAATACAAATAAAACATCCTAAAATTTTTTTGAGCAAAGAACCAAGTAGGAAATACATTTTCAATTATGAACTTGGGACAGGTATAGTCAAAATCTAGTTTTTCATTTTTTTTTTCGAAGGTTTATCCAAATGGATTAAAGCTTTTTATAAATATTCTAGTGCTTAAAACAAATACAAATAAAACATCCTAAAATTTTTTTGAGCAAAGAACCAAGTAGGAAATACATTTTCAATTATGAACTTGGGACAGGTATATTCAAAATCTAGTTTTTCATTTTTTTTTCGAAGGTTTATCCAAATGGATTGAAGCTTTTTATAAATATTCTAGTGCTTAAAACAAATACAAATAAAACATTCTAAAATTTTTTTGAGCAAAGAAACAAGAAGGAAATACATTTTCAATTTTGGACTAGGGGCGACCCTAGTCAAAATCAATTTTGTCACTTTTTTCTTCGAGGGTTTATACAAATGGATTGAAACTTTGCATAAATATTCTAGTGCTTAAAACAAATACAAATAAAATATCCTAAAATTTTTTTGAGCAAAGAACCAAGTAGGAAATACATTTTCAATTTTGGACTAGGGGCGACCCTAGTCAAAATCAATTTTGTCACTTTTTTCTTCGAGGGTTTATACAAATTGATTGAAACTTTCCATAAATATTTTAGTGCTTAAAACAAATACAAATAAAACATCCTAAAATTTTTTTGATTAAAGAAACAAGAAGGAAATACATTTTCAATTTTGGACTAGGGGCGACCCTAGTCAAAATCAATTTTGTCACTTTTTTCTTCGAGGGTTTATACAAATGGATTGAAACTTTGCATAAATATTCTAGTGCTTAAAACAAATACAAATAAAATATCCTAAAATTTTTTTGAGCAAAGAACCAAGTAGGAAATACATTTTCAATTTTGGACTAGGGGCGACCCTAGTCAAAATCAATTTTGTCACTTTTTTCTTCGAGGGTTTATACAAATTGATTGAAACTTTCCATAAATATTTTAGTGCTTAAAACAAATACAAATAAAACATCCTAAAATTTTTTTGAGCAAAGAAACAAGAAGGAAATACATTTTCAATTTTGGACTAGGGGCGACCCTAGTCAAAATCAATTTTGTCACTTTTTTCTTCGAGGGTTTATACAAATGGATTGAAACTTTGCATAAATATTCTAGTGCTTAAAACAAATACAAATAAAACATCCTAAAATTTTTTTGAGCAAAGAACCAAGTAGGAAATACATTTTCAATTTTGGACTAGGGGCGACCCTAGTCAAAATCAATTTTGTCACTTTTTTCTTCGAGGGTTTATACAAATGGATTGAAACTTTGCATAAATATTTGAGTGCTTAAAACAAATACAAATAAAACATCCTAAAATTTTTTTGAGCAAAGAACCAAGTAGAAAATACATTTTCAATTTTGGACTAGGGGCGACCCTAGTCAAAATCAATTTTGTCACTTTTTTCTTCGAAAGTTTATCCAAATGGATTGAAACTTTGCATAAATATTCTTGTGCTTAAAACAAATACAAATAAAACATCTTAAAATTTTTTTGAGCAAAGAACCAAGTAGGAAATACATTTTCAATTTTTGACTAGGGCGACCCTAGTCAAAATCAATTTTGTCACTTTTTTCTTCGAGCGTTTTTCAAATGGATTGAAACTTTGCATAAATATTCTAGTGCTTAAAAAAAAATACAAATAAAACATCCTAAAATTTTTTTGAGCACAGAACCAAGTAGGAAATACATTTTAAATTTTGGACTAGGGGCGACCCTAGTCAAAATCAATTTTGTCACTTTTTTCTTCGAGGGTTTATACAAATGGATTGAAACTTTGCATAAATATTTGAGTGCTTAAAACAAATACAAATAAAACATCCTAAAATTTTTTTGAGCAAAGAACCAAGTAGAAAATACATTTTCAATTTTGGACTAGGGACAGGTATATTCAAAATCTAGTTTTTCATTTTTTTTCGAAGGTTTATCCAAATGGATTGAAGCTTTTTATAAATATTCTAGTGCTTAAAACAAATACAAATAAAACATCCTAAAATTTTTTTGAGCAAAGAACCAAGAAGGAAATACATTTTCAATTTTGGACTAGGGGCGACCCTAGTCAAAATCTAGTTTTTCACTTTTCTCTTCGAAGGTTTATCCAATTACAGTGAAACTTTGTGTGAGTATACTAATATTTATACAAAACAGTTTTAAATATCTAAAGCAAGAAATGTATTCTATATGTCGTCAGACCCAAATTTTATAAATTTGGTTCTACAAATAAAAACAACGTGACTTAAAATTTTTCCAAAAAATGATTTTTATTAATTCAGAAATGTGTGACCTGAGGATTAGAATGCTCATACAAAGTTTTACTGAATTTGGATTTATCCTCGAAGGGAAATTCTTTTTTTGCTCAAAAAAATTTTAGGATGTTTTATTTGTATAAATTTGTATAAAAAGCTTCAATCCATTTGGATAAACCTTCGAAAAAAAAAATGAAAAACGAGATTTTGACTAGACCTGTCCCAAGTTCATAATTAAAAATGTATTTCTACTTGGTTCTTTGGTCAAAAAAAATTTTTTTGATGTTTTATTTGAATTGACATAATTCTGACATAAATCACATACCAATATTACTTTTTGTAATGCATAGCTTAAAAAAATCGAAAGCTAAAATTTTGACTACCCAACCTGAATTTTGTTCATACTCTTCACTGTGGAATCCAAAAAACAAATTCTTTATCTTAAAACTTTTGACAAAATAGCGACATAATTCAGGATTAATTACTTTTTAATAATATTTTAACATTTATGAGAAAATGTGGTTCAATTAAGTGTGAAGTATGGCCGAGATTTGGACCAAAATCAGCTATACTGGTTCATAGTGTTCCCGAGGGTGACAAAATTCAAACTACGTGTTTTTATCGAACTGTGTCGATATGGGTCTCGGCCGTACTTCACGCCCACCCTTCAAACTTATAGTGAGCAAATCTTGGTCTATCCATAAGACTTTTGATGGTACGGTGTGAATATATCCGCATTGGGTTTCTACCCGATACACTAGTTGTTCAATAAACTTGTTTTTTTTCTTTTTCTAGAGTCAAAGTCATCAAAAATGCTGAAATTGAACTTTATAGACACAAAACATTAGAAAGTTCTTTTGATGGTGTAGTTTTTAGCTATGAGCCACAAGTAATATATGCAAATTTAATTCACATGAAAGATTATTCATATTTGATACTAAAAGAACGATTTGTTACGAACCAAATGGTGTTTTATCTTCAAGAGAATCATTTTCTTGCCGATCATTTAAGTGAAAAGATTGAATGGTTTCGCGAATTTGGCATTACTAATTATATTCTTGATGAGTTTGTTGATACGGAACACATTCATATCTCAACTCGAGAAAATACAAGCAAGCCCTTGAAATTTCATGAACTATCAGCCATTTTTACTGTTTGGATTGTAGGTTTAGCGGCAGCAGCAACTATATGTTTGATAGAAATAGGAATGGGATGCAAAAGCTCACTCACTAAAGTATTTATAAAAAATCTCAAAAAGAAAACCAGGCGTAATGTACATAAACCTGTTAAAACTAATCTTAGAGTCATGCATTGAAAGAATATATTTTTGCTGCACATTAAAGGATGTTTGTAAGCTTGTTTTTTTATTGCAATTGTTAATAATAAAGCATTTTGCGTGAATCTTTAAACATTTCATATTATTCACTTGAATTCCTTATTTTTTTTTCAGCAAACCATCCATGAAGGCATTTTGGAACTGGACCTGGCAAATCTTTGAACTCACATCTTCCTAATTCAGTCATGTCTTTTGCATCAAGTACAAGTAGTCCAACATGATTCTCGTCACCTTCACCCCAAACCATTGAGGCTAAAATAATGCCATCATCTTCTGTTTGTGGATTTGGACAAGGAACGAAAATTGGTTCGCTTGGGTAAACATTTTTCTCACTCCAAGTGATTCTTGTTTTATTGTGGACATCAACTTTTATCAAAGTTCCCGGGTTATCTGCATCAACATCTGAGCTTATAGCATAGAAATATTGATAGTCGTTACCAAGATGCTTTTCATAATGAATTCGAGGTGTCTCACATCCTAAATTACATAAAAGCTCAGGTTTGCAAAATATAGAACCATCAGGAAGTAAAAATGCAGAAGCACTTGAATTTTTCAACTTAACAAGATTATTATCAAAAACATTAAATGTGTCAGCTGTAGCTTCACAATTCCATGAGAAAAAGTTTGATAAAGATTTCATTTTTGAAGGATATTTTAATGGGAGAACAAATCTCAAAGGTCGTCCACGAAATAGACGTGCATAGTCAGGATTACTTTGCATATTTTTCATGCTATCAATATACATACAATTTAACATTTCAGGATCTTTGTAGCAGCTAATATCTAAAATTACATGATCATCCTGTTCATATTGATTAATTATATGAAGGAAAAAGAAAGCTTCAGTTTGATATGTGTGACGCAATTCTCCTGAGCTCCTATCAACTAAATAAATGAGTGTAGGCTTATCAGGAAACCATTTGAGACATGTTATCATTGGCTCGTTCATTAATTGTGATTTTATTACCGATGGAACGGAAACGGTCAGTGGCTGTTCTACGATGATAAAATAATTTTCTGTAATTCCAAATGTGTGCATGTATGAAGGATGTAATTTCCATCTAGTCGGAATTTCAGCAACTATTTTTGCATCATCAAAAATTCTTTCTCCTTTTGGGAAACAAATTACACCATAAGCAGGACCTGATTTTGTTATAGTCAATCCAACATTATAAACTGTACCATCATTCATAACATGAGGATGTGAAGTATGATTAACAATTCCTATACGTTCATGCAAATTCACTCTTTCCGTCGTGTCCAAAGTATCAATATCGATTTTATGTATAACTGGACTTTCAGCAAAAGCAAAATATTCATCATTAAATGGATAAATGGATATCATGGCATTATCAGAATTAGCATCAGCTGGCTTGAAAAGTGTTGCGACTCTATTTAATGAAATTTTAATCAACGTTTAACATTCGATATATTTTATTTTTAGCGCATTTTTGAAACTTGTTTCGAAAAGGTAGCTTAATATCTCACTATGTCTGTTCGTTCGGGCGGAGAAAAACTTTTTAACTAGACATCGTAGAGAGTTCTAGTTTGTTTTATTAGCTCAGGTCCATTGTTTTATTTTCGGGAAACGCATTTAAAAGTCTTGAAACAGTGTTTTTGTACTATAATTAATGATTTTTATATTTCATATGAGCGTTTAGAAATTCGAATTTATTTCTACCGTTGAAAAATTTTGAATCTCAAAAAACTGTTAAATTACCAAGCCTTTTTATATAAAAATTTTTTGCAACAGACTGTTATTTATACTATAATTAATGATTTTACTGTAACTTTTGGCAAGATACTTTCAAATGCATACGACCGTTACAAAATTTGAACTTCAGAAAACCGTTAAATGATAAACCATTTATTTATGAGAATTAAAGATATTAAATTGTTAAATATACTATAATTAATGATTTTTTGTGTTTCTTTTGGCGGAAAGCTTTCAAAAACTTACTGACCGTTAGAAAATTTGAATCTCAAAAAACCGTTAAATGATAAACTTTTTCTATATGGAAATTCATTTCTACAAATTATTAACGGGAAAATTTCAAATTATTTATTGACCGTTAAATAATAAAGCTTTTCTATATAAGCATTCATTGTAATTATTTGCTAATTGCACTAAAATCAATGATCTTCTAATCTTCTAATGATCTGTAAATGAAGGCAAAATAAATAGACAATCAAATGAGCCTTTCCACGTGAAAATGAGACTCGGTATTTTTTTTGGTTTTTGGTCAATAAAACCATGAATACTGGAAAGGCTCAAATGCTGATCGCTAACACAAAAATGCGCTTAAATCCCTCGATCAATAACACGAGGACTTCTGTTATTTTTTAATTAATTACCTTTGAAAAATACTCTGACATGGGTCAGGCGCACAAGCAGTTCCAAATTCTGAAACTACAACACGATTTGCTGCCAAGTTCTTTTTGTATGAATCAGTTTTGAGGAATCGACATTGATAAGTAACATTTCCATTTTCAATATTAAAACGATGAAGGAGTGCTGAGCTATCAAAAAGGTGATTAAATGTCATTGAACCAACTTTTATGCTACCAGGACCATTACGAAGCAAACATCCGTTAATCCAAGCTGGAATAAAACCACTTAAAATGCCATTAATTGGTTTAATAATTTCTTGTTCACACGAGCGAAGCCAAACATTCACATCACAATTAGGGTAGTAGTTTTGTCTGAGAGGTATTGGAGAGTGACTTCTCGAATAGTTTCTGTATTGTTCATCATCATCGTCATCCAGATCTATTATTTCAATCTCATCGTCGTCGTTAATAATCTTTGTAACAACAAATTTATTTTCTGTGTCAGTTTTACAGCTTATCATGGATAATGGTTTATTATGTGCATGCAAAGGATCGAAAGTTATTGCATCATTACTTCCACGACGTTCTTTAATACTTAATTGAATTTGAGAAAACTCGTCAGAAATTGATTGCTCATAGCATACATCCACTAAACTTTTACGTCTTTGAACATCTTCAGGATTACTTTTAATAGTTTTATAACGGACTGGTGTCGTCACATTTGAAGAATGTTCACTACAAGGCGTACTTCTTCCCGAGACTGGATAAATTGTTCCTTCAACATTTAATAAATCCAAAGATTTTAATACAGTTGTGGGTGTATGAGCAGGTGATTTATCAAAATATGAACTTGAACAGGGTACATTTAAGGCTTCAGACATTTTCACCTTTATTTGGGACTGTCTTTCCAGCACAAAAGTTAAAAGTAAACTAAACATTGCAATGTCAATTTTATGGTATTTATATGAACTTCATGTGCTCTTCGGACTTACGAAATATTTTTAATTCTTACATGAAAATGTAGCGAAAATATTCTTTTGGGGACGTTTGCGTGTTCTTTTTCATGCATACTCAAAATAACTTTCATTCAGATTATGTGACGAAATGGTCACCTTTGGGGCTTCATTGCGTTGGTAAGAAAATCATGAAATCTATTTTATTAATTAAACTATCATGCGATTCAAATATCATGATTGGATTTTATGATGAAATAATCAGGAAGAAGAAGGAATCATTTGATGTTTAATTTACAAATCAGTAAACAATGAGTATAAGCCATACGATTCATGATTTATTTACGCATCAATTTTTATACTTCATTGACTAGCAGTATTTGGATTCCAAAAACATCAAAAACCACCTGATGATATCCATGTATATATAGTGTTTCAAAGATACCTCATTACTTAACAACCCCTATTCACTCAATCGGATAATCATTATCTTTTTGATATTGGACACTACTGGTTACGATAATTTGTGTATCCTGCCACAATTCTTATTATTAGGCGAAATGTTTATTTTTTTTTTACCTTTTGTAGCGAGCCAGATGCCAAAATTTCGTCAATAAGATCACTAACGAGTCTTATCGGAAAATCAGCTTCGTCATCGACAAAAATTGTAAGCATTTTGATATTTTTATTACTTCCTTTAACTTGAAGTTGTAATCTTATTCAATTCAAAGATAAAACGCAACTAATATGATAGCTGAATTAATAAAACAATTGTTTTTTTAAATTTCATTGATTGAACGAGATGAAAAAGTTCCCATGCTGCAATATAAATTGATGTGTGAATTGTGACAATTTAATAATTCATATATGAGAACATCTCATGGAAATTTTAAAATAATTGGCATAGAATTTATTATGCAAACTTTTATGGTATTACACAAAGTATGTGGAAATTTGAACAAAATGTTTTGGAATAGTTATAAATAAGAAAATGACTATCATCTTTAAAAAATAAATAAATTTAAGCTTTTAGGCAAGGCTCAGTTTTCTTTCCATAAAGTTATATATCCTATGCTAATGCGCCACAATTCAGCTAACGAGAGGGAAATTTCCATTTTTCTTACGGTTTATTTTCGTGCTCAAACCTAGACTGGACTTAGACTTACTAAGGGGCAACGTGTCATAATTATTAAATTAATATAAATGGCTGCAATAAGCCAATATCTAACTCAACTGTTTAAAATTCTTATAGAAATGTTTTAAATATCGCTCATGTACTCACTTTTTTTATGTTTCTGAATACCTTTTGGTAGTAAATTATATACTTTCTATATAAAGCTTTATAATTTTCGCTTAGAAAGAAATAACAAAATAAAATTAAAATAACAAAAACAAGAATAATGTATAACATAATAAAGGAACAATAAATCTGAATCACTAAGCTTAGTGAACCTTATAATTTATATTACTTTTTTATCAAATTTTTCATTATAACTAATTTTAAGGAACTGCTCAAGAATTTTTCAAGACTTTCAAGGGGTTCACTGGGACTTAAATATATTTTCTAGTAGATTTAAACACAACAGGCATAAAAATAAAATAAATTTGATCAATTTATCTGGTACATATATGTATTTTTGGTAACTGTGAAAGGCTTAAATTAATTTATGTATGGCAAATATTTGTAAAGCATTCAATTTAAAATTCTTTTGGTATGCGATCTCGAAGATAAGATAGGATAGATACTGTTCCTTTTTCAAGAACTTGTATACGTGGACTTCTGAAGCTGTTTCCATGCAAAAGCAAGCTTGTAATTTGAGTCATGTTGCCCAATGTTGGTGGAACATGATTTATATTGTTGTTTGATAAATCTAATATAGCTAAACGCTTCAACGCTGCTAATCCACTATCTGACGCATCTATTGATTCAATTTTATTATCGCATGCAAAAATAATTTCGACATGAATCAATTCAAATATGCATTTTGGGAATTCTATAAATTTGTTGTTGGCAATGTTAATTTCACGTAACGTAATTAATAATCCGACTTCATCAGGCAATTTATCAAGCTGATTGCAGCTTAAATTCAGGTACTTGATGTGATCAAATTGCGAAACAAATGGCTGAACTTCAATCAATTGATTTCCATTCATATTCAATTCTGTTATTTTTGAGCTTAAAATCGTCAATCCTTTTGGGAGCTGCTTTAATTTATTTTTTGAGAAATCAACTATAGAAATGTCTGCCTCAACAGCATCCAAAAATACTTGTTCTGGAATTTCTGTTACTCCTTTACCACACAATGTGAGACTCCGTGTTTTCTTTAACTGATATTTATCAGGAAACGGATTTTCTGGAATTGTTGGCGAATTAATGACTTTAGGGTAACCATTACTATTTAATCCTTTATCACGATCTTTCAATGTTTTTAAAATACGATGTGTGCCACATGCGATTATGTCTCTTCGAATCGATTTTATTGGATTTCCATCAACTTGTAAACTTACTAAATGTGCTAAAGTACACAAAGAAGTTGGCAAACTTGATACAGAATTATTAGAAAGATCAAGCCTCATTAAACTTTGTAACATCGAGACTTCATCAGGTAATTTGGTAATTTTGTTGTCTCGAAGGTCAAGAACTTTCAAGTTGGGTAGCTTTTCAAAAAATCTCTCAGGTATTTCTGTAATGAAATTATTTGAAATATAAAGCTCTTGCAAATGTTCACAACCCTCCAAATCTGGCATTTTATCGATATCGTTATGTTGTGCATAAATAAATTCAATTTTTCGCAAATCTCCCATATATTGTGGCAAAAACTTTAAATCATTGTGCATGATGTCCAATTTTTGAAGATCTGCAAATTTTTTAAACATAACTTAATAAGTTGATATGTTTAACGATCATGTATTGTGTAAACTTACTTCTTAAATTTGTTATATCATTAGGCAAAACTTGTAACTTATTATGATGCACGGATAAATCTGTTAAACGTGTCAAAAATCCAATTCCACCAGGCAATAATTCTAATTTATTGTTAGCCATATCCTAGGTTGTTAAATCATATTAGTATTAGTTCTTGACTCATTTATTTAAATTGTAACTACTTACAAGAATTTCAAGATATACTAAATCGCTTAAGTCAGCAGAAATGTCAGTTAAACAATTATAAGATAAGTTTAGGTATTTTAATTCACGGAGTCGAAAAAAGTCATTAGGCAGTTCGTTTATTTTGTTACGGCTAAGATTTAACTTGGTTAATTTCTCCAATTGACCAATTTCTTTCGGAAGAGTTGTTAATGCATTATCTTGAAGCTAGATTACATTATTGTAATAGTTTATTATAATTATTATTAAGGTATGTCATTAAGGTATTCAGGCTTGAGAAAAAAATTAACTCACATTTAAAACCGTCAAGTCCAAGAGATTTCTGATCTCGGGATTTATTTCAGTGAGAACATTAGACGAAAAATCAAGATGTGTAATATGCCTTTGATTCCACCACAAGTCATCTTCATTTGGTGTGTTATTTAAATCCACTACGTTATAATTAACTTTCACTGGATCTTGTATGTTAAAAACTTTTTCAGGAACTATTAAGTAAAAGAGAAATTTATTAATAGATAATTTATATGACCTTGATAGCTGCTTGTTATGAACTTTGTATCTTGGTGTATTTTCGCTCTGGATAAATGTACAAACTTCGTCTGAACATGTTGAATTGCATAACTAAACTGTACGAAACTTCATGCACTGTAAGTTAAAGTCCAATTTTATAATCATTTGAGCGTAAAATTAATAAGTTCAAAACAATTGAATGACAGCACGTATAATAATGATCAATCAATTGAATATCATTAATATTTTGTTGTGCAAAAGCATCAGTAGCATTATAATTTATTGATCGATTTTACAACAAGTCCTTACTATTTTTCAAGTTTTTTCCAACTAGCTCAATTTTTCCTGTTTTTAATGTTTGCTTTATAAGTTGTGGTGTTAAAATATTGTCATCTTCTGCTTTATCCTTAAAATGAAACACTGGATTCAAATCTTCCTTCCTTATTCTCGATTTCACTTTAGAACTTTTCATTTTTCGTTTGGAAAATTGCGATTTTAATTTTATAAACAAAGTATTTTAATTGGTATTTGTGCTTTGTATTTACACAACCTTTTTGAATGTATTTGTTTAGCGCCAAAAAATTTAAAAATAAAAATCTGGTTAATTTTTTGAACATTTTATTGAGCATCATTCTCATTTAGAACACCTCTTACACCATTTTCCTCATAATCTTGTCGTGAAATACTTAAATTATCAAATTCTGGATCATTTGCCAAAAACTGTGAACCATACCACGCATAAGTCAATGGATCGTCATCAGGAATAGAAACGCTAACTGTGAATATTTCAGGTGCCATACTACGAATATCCTTTTGTAAGCGATTTCGAATTCCTGGAAATTTGGAAGAACCTCCCATGACAATAATGTTGGCATATAAATGTGGTCTTGTTTCTTCCGGACAAGCATTTATGGCATCAACTGTTGCTTCAGCAATACCCATTTGATTGATTCCAAGATCAGATGGATGAAATAGTAATTCAGGAACGGTAAATCGTTCATTATTCAAACGAATCACTTGATAATCGTCTCCTTTTTTAGCAGTTCCAGGCGTTTGTAAATAACCACGTCTAATTGTGGTACAATCAGGAAGGACGTATTCACGAATAGTTTTATTTTCAGGATATTTCTTTTTCGCCATTGCCATGTCTGCATTAAAATCCTGAGATACAAAGCAACTGTCTTCTTTCATCTGATTAATTACAAATGACTCATCCATGACATTTAAAAATCTATATGATATGACTTCCTTAAGATGATTTGTAAGTAATTTGCCACCAATATCGATACGTCTAATTGCTGATAACACTTTCTTTCCTTTGACGAATGGAACAATGTGACTGAAACTATAGCCAACATCAATTACGACACAGCATAAAGGAGGCTCGTCTGGATCTTGAGTATTTGTATATTGATATTGACAAAGATCTGGGGCTGTCGTTTTTGTCAATGAAATACAGTCATACTCTTCAAAGAAAATCTCAATCATAGCTTCTTGAATTATTGGAAAGTTAAACAGTGGCTCTGTGATAATAAGTTTTGTATCACTGAAATTCACGGGAAATTCTGTTGAAAATATGTAATCATAAATATTCTTCTGAACTTCCCAATTTGTAATGTATCCTTTTGTAAATCCTAAGATGTAAAATATTCCTGAAATATCTCTGCACTCATCAATTTGATTTCCAATAAACGGTCTTCGCTTTTCACTCTTTGCCTTCATTATGCAGTTTGGAATGACTCTAAAAACATTCATTTACAATGTCAACAATAGTTTTATAATGACGATTAGCTTAATAAACATGAAATATTACTTACAATGGCTTTTCATCCGTGATATTTCCTATTTTTATGTTGCATGCTCCATTATCAATGCAGCAAATCTTCTCCATCCTAAAGGCTTACAGCTGTTTAATTAATTTATAAGAATTATTTTCAATAGTTGTGTTTGTTGATATTTTTAAAGGGGGTCCTTTATTTGAATAGTTTTGATTCGGATAAAATTATAGCAGTTTTGAATGAATATAAATTTATAGTATTTTTTAACGGAAATTACTTTAAACATCTTTTAGAGATGGGGAGGAGGTTAAACGAGATTAAATGTCTCGAGATTAAGAATGTCATAATGAATTGTGAAGCAAATTTAGTACAAGTCATTTAATTTTAATATAAAAAAAAAACAAATTCAAAAAAACTCGTGAGCGTTTACATAATATTTGCAAAGTCCATTAATTTAATTGAAGCACACAATTTTCGGCATGAGTAGATTGCGTTTTGTTTATTTAATTAATTAAAACTGATTTTCCGCTCATTTAAGAATGAATGAAATTCTCAAATTGATCTTAATTGCTCATTGTGGCTTATTGATTCATTTATATGACATCGGTAAGCGTAATCATTCATGCATGTAAGCCGCATGTTTGATGTGATGTATACAAAACATTACAATAAAAGCACTTATATATATTATAATATATAGCAATATAGTAAATAAATGTTGCATTAATGACCTAAAATAAAAAAAAAAGTATTTTAAATATTATACCGCATTGTCGGCAATAGAACAGTAAGAGGTGTGTATTCATCCTAAGTCATGTTAAAGCAGATGCTTCCTTATCTTTTCAGGCATCACTTGATTCGTCTTGTTATTACATTAGCTGACTTATTAGAATAATGCTTATGATTTATTGGAAGTTAAATCTCAGCGGGTAATTAATTTGCTATAAATAATAACTTGAACCGTCTATGACTTCAACCATCCAAAGTTCAATCAGAAAATGTATTACATAAGCGGATATGGAAGGTCAGAACTTTTATATCTTCAAATGTAACTCATTGCAAAAAAACAGTTTTATTTTTTAATAAAATCACACAAATAAAAGTGTTTTAATTCCAACATTTCTAACATTCCGAAAGCGACAGTTAAAATTGCATAAAAATTTTCACATCAACATTATCAGTATCGTCTCTCTGTATATAATGTATGAATACGTCGTCTATTGTTCTCTCACTTTTAATTTCTGCGGTTTAACATTACATGCAATTTAAATTAATTTTTATCATACCTTTTGGACATAACTGAAAATGATGTAATTTGTGATTTTAATGTCGTTAAGTTTGATAGAAGGATTTGGGTGTGGGATTTCAACAATCTGTCATCCCTAATTCTAAAACTTTTTAAAATCGAGTTGATGCTAGTAGATACCAAGAACAGGTATTAAGACTATCAAATTCACGAAATAAGCACCTTAATAAGTCATCTTCAATGATGTTTTCCTTTTTGTTTTTGGACAAACATTAAGTACATTTCCTCCAACGTCTCATAGCATCGATAATTACGCTCGGTCATAATATTGTTGTTAAGCTAAACGTAGTGTGTTTAGCATTACGCGAGTCTTATTTTCTCAGTCGTGCGCGCTACAACAGTCTGAAAAGAGTTCCAAAAAAAAAAGAATCATCATCATCAAAATCATTATTCCGCATTTTAATTTTAATTTATTAACAGACATCACGGCGATAGACTGTAAAAAAATTAAGCTTAAATCAGTAAAGTGCAAACACGTGATTGATTGGAAAATTTTCAGCCTTGACTTTGTTAGATGTGAAAAGCAAAAGTGATCGCGGCAAAGTCATAAAAGTTTTTAAAAGATAAAGGAACATGTTACTAAGCTAAAACATGATGGTTAATATTATTAACATTTGTTATTTACTTGTTATAGTTCTTGTTAAAGTGTCAAATGCAAATTCAATTAGACAGTGTCCTGATTATCAAATTCAGTTTGAAAAAATTCTCGGATATCGTCCACCACAAACAGTTCTTTCAAACAGTTATGGACCGCCAAATAGTGAAAAATTACTTTTCAAGTATCACCATCAAGTGCCGTCTGTGATAAATTTATCGTGCATGGAATTGTGTAAAAATGACCATAATTGTGAGAGCTATGTTCTTAACTTTAACAAGTCTGAGTGCTATGGCTACACAAGCAATGAGAGACAACTGGAGACACACAATTTTCGGCGATTTGACAACCATGAACTTGTAGAAGATATCAATGTTATTTATTTTGTAAAAACATGTCTTAACAGTGAGTAACTTCCCATGCACACAAACTGATTTGGTCATCAAAACTTTATATTTTAATTAACCACATTAGAATAAAAACAATCATGAATTTTTATTATTCTTTGACTTTTGGCTTAACGTCCTTGCTTAAACGAATCGTTAATCGTACGTGAAAATTATTTTAAGTAATTTTTTTCTCGTGATCGTGCGGTTCTCGACGATCATACATAAAAATGCTACATTGTGGGAAAAAAGCTAAAATAAATTTTTGTTCTTCCATTGTATTTCTTTAACATTTGTAGCCATGATAGCTTTTTAGATTTGAATAACATTTTGATGCGAGAATATAATCAAATAAAGAAAAAATTAAACATAGCTAAGGGAAGCTTTTTAATTGCCAGTGAGGTCACTCAGATCAAACTGAATTGAAAGTATCAATACCTGCTTAATTTTATAAATGGAAATGTTTCGTATCTGTAACTAATTTGATAAATTTATTGAATATACTCGGACATAATATCATTTAATGTTTATTTTTTACAGTTCCCCTTAATTGCAAAAATACACTATATCCAATTTTGAGAATCCCTGGAAGTATTTTAATTGGAAAAGGATATTTGACTATAAATAAGCTTTTAACAAGACGAGAATGTATTGAACGTTGTCTATTTGAAACGACCTTTAAATGTCGATCAGTATCATTCCAAATATCTCAACGGAATAATATTGTTCGAATGGGTCTGTCCAATATTCTTAACAAAGACATCATGGGAAGATGCATAATGAGTAGGGACGATAAAAACCTCGAGCCAGATTCATTCCGTGTTGCACCGATTAATGATGAATATATAGAAAATAACTGCCATGTAGTCATGAATGGAGCAAATGAACAATTTTTAGATGATTTTTGTTCCTATGAGCATTTTCCAGAAAGTGCATTAACATATGCTGAACATCAATATATAGGCCTTACAGATCGTGAATGTCAAGAAAAGTGCTATAAGGAGAAAAAGTTTTTCTGCAAAGGAATCACATTTCAGCACACAGATAGAGTTGACGACTCAAGATGTTTCATACATTCCGAAGATCTTATTTCATTAGGACCACGAGCAGTGATTCCTATGTTACGGTCATATTACCTAAAAAGAGTACAGTGTCTAAATTGTAAGTGCTACTTGAACTATCAAACGCTAATGATCTCTAATGACTAATAAAATTTATTATTCTTTATTCTTGTTCTTTTTTTATGATTATTTTAGTAAACGTTAGATGTACACATGATCAAATGATTATTAGATATAATCCACGTCAGTTCTTTCAAGGACGAATGTATACTGAAAATCATTCTGAGGAATGTGGTGTATCCGGAACCAATTATGGACCAACTTTCTTAACAATTCCAATTGGAACAGAATTAAAAGAAAATCGGTGTGGTGTAGCACGTGCTTTTGATTTTGAGTCGTTGAATCGTACTTTGATCTACGTTTATATCATAATTCAAAATAATCCTTTAGTCATGATGCAAAGTGATCGATATATTAAAGTTGGATGCATTTCTAAAAACAATAGGCATGGCAATGAAGATGGTGTACCTGATTATGTTTCACTGGAGACATCAATGGAATTTAATGGAAAAGATTATGATGGAAGTGGATCTTTGGTTATTGATAATGGAGGTGATATACCTAAATTAAGAGTTTATATTATTGATCCTATTGATAATGTAAAGATTAAAGAAGCTCGAATTGGGCAGCTTCTTAAATTTGTTATTTCGATGGACTCTCATTACGAAAATTATGATTTAAAGGCAGTAAATCTAACTGTCACATCCAGTCATGATAAACTAGAATTAATATCATCAAACGGATGTGCAACAAATGCTGCTATATTTCCAGCACTTCAACAAGAAATTACAGATCGTTCTCGTCGACTGTATTCAAAATTCAAGGCATTTAAATTTACATCATCTAATCAGATAAAACTTAGTGTATCAATTCAATTTTGTCACAAATCTTGTAAACCTGTAAATTGTGGATATGGAGTAGAATTTAATGGAAGAAAGAAAAGGAACACGAGTTCAAGCATCGTAAATAATCCAGCACCAACAACTCCATTGAGTAGAATAATTTTTCCTGATGAAACATCTTCAGCAAACACACTAGTTCCAATTAAATTCCTATCGACAACAACAGCAGCTCCAATGGAACCGATTAAATTTCCTAAACCTATTCAGGAAAAATTAGTGGATGGTACGATATCGGTTGACAATATTTATAAGGGCTTCAGACAAGATGCTTATGGTTATCCACAAGGAATACAAAATTATTTTGGTGGCTTAAAAGATGAAGAGAATGAAATTGAAGATGAAGATTCCAGAGCTAAAATTCAAACTAAAGTCATTACTATTCCGCTTGACATAACACTTAATGTGATAGAAAATGGTGTAAATGGAACTGATCGACTTGTTATTGGAGATAATGATCAAATTATTGTTGCTGGACTGGGTAACTTCATATTTTGAATTTATTCTAAAACATGATATTTAATGAAGTTTTCTTTTTAGCCAACAACGCAAGTGGCTTTTGCTTAGATGAATCTTTAGTTATAGCAATTTTTATATTTTGGTTGATTTTTCAAATTCTTATTCTTTTTGGATGTTGTTTAATGGTCCAAAGATACAAGAAAATGACATCTTTTGATGATGACAGATCATTTAACAACTCGGGATATTATCCTGATTCATTAGAAAATCGACATGTGAGATGGGCAGACAATACAATAAACTATCCTCGCGAAACTTATTATCAGTAATTGTATAACACCAAAATCATTTTTTTTACTTTTTAAAAAACTTAATGAATTAGTCAATCGATCAAAATGTTACCAAAATAATTTTAATTAAATAAACAAATTTAACTCTTTATGTTATTGTAAGCGTGCGTGTATAATTATTTATGATAATATTGTTGTTGTGGCATCACGAAAGGAAATAAGTAATATAATCCTTACTTTAGCCGGCTTTAATTTAATATACCCTGCTTATTCTTTATAAGCAAGTAGCTAAAGTAGAGTTTTAATCGACAACATCAGATTCAGTTACAGCCTGGTAGATCAAATTCATTTAAAATTTGTAGATCAAAAGTTGATTTTCCCCTTCAAGTTCTACTTATATATGGCAATAATCTCAACTGTGCATTTTTCAAGTAAAAAAATAAAAACAAAGGAAGGACTATTCACTTATTACGTAACACAAAAAAAAAGATTTTAGACCCCCTTCATCCCAAATTATCTGTATAAAAAAAGTCCTTTCTTTGAACTGTCACAACCCCCCCCCCCTTTTAAACGCTACGTAATAAGTGAATGACCCCGAAAAATATATATTTTTAAAGTCTTGAAAATTTCATTAATTAATTAAAATGGGACGTATATTTCTCGAGCATATTAATGGAACTCAAAAATTATATAACTGTGCACAGTGTGACACAAATTTAACAAACAAAAGTCAGCTAATTTCAACCAGGTATGCAAAAAAAAAAATAAAAACCTTTCTTTAAATAAAAAAAAATTACAAAATATTTTGTAGATTCACTGGATCAACAGGAAGGGCTTATTTATTCAAAAAAGTCGTGAATCTCACATTTAGCATTGTTCAAGATAGAGTTATGCTAACAGGACGTCATATGGTTCGAGATGTAATGTGTAAGAACTGTAAGACAAAGTTGGGCTGGATGTATGAATTCGCAACAGAAGAAAGTCAGAGATACAAGGAGGGTCGAGTAATTTTGGAACATGCATTGATTACAGAGTCAGAAGGATTTAGTGAATTTCCAAGACCACGAAATTATGATGAAAATTAATTAAACTTATTAACGTATTTACAAATTAAGGAACATTTTTTTAAAAAAATTCTTGTGTGACTGTATTTCAGAATCATTAGTTATATTTGGTTAATTAAAGAATGTAATAAAAACCAAGGCACTTTATTTAAAATCACCTCTTTGATAGTACACATATTACAATAAGTTTATAACATAGATTAATTAAATACATTATATCACTTGTCTTCCGTCTACAAATACATTAATTATATTTCTGTCGTCGCCAGTATAAATGAATTTCTGTAAAAGTTTTTCAAACTTCTCAAGTGCTGTTAAATGTTCAGTCAATGACTTTGGTAACACAAAATCATCAACTGCTCCAACATATGAATCAATTATAAGAGCATCAAAAGATTTTCCGATTTGGAAATTTCCAGTTTTATCATCCATCGCTAAAGCTTGAGCACCACCAAGTGTAGCCAAAAATATAGCCTGCTTGTAATCAATTGGTTCATATTGAGAATTTTCTTCATTAACAGAAACTTGACCTGTTCCCAAAACATGTTGTTTTTTCATAAAATTCAAATGATGAGAAACATCGAGTGCAGCTCTAATGGAATCAAGAATACTAATTCTATTGCCACCAGAAATGTCGGTTCCTAGACCAACTTTTAAACCACCATTTATTAATCGCTTAACATCACACAGACCAGATCGTAAATTTGTATTGGAATGTGGACAGTGAGCAACTGAAGTTTTACGCTTTGCAAAAAGCTCAATTTCACTATCTTCAAGATGGACACAATGTGCCATGATGCATTTGTTTGTCAATAATCCAGCTGTATCATAAACTTCAGCATAACTTTTATGACCAGGAAAAATATCCAAAGTAAATTTAATTTCATCAAGATTCTCCGATATGTGTGACTGAATAGGAAGATCATAAGTTGAAGCTAATTTTGCTAACTTTTTCATCATTTCCATGCTGCATGTGATTGCAAATCTAGGCGTTATTATCGGTGTAATCAGATCAGATTCAAGACTTTTGACATATTGTATAAACTCTTCATTATCCTTGATCGAATCTTCCAACTTTTCACTAAAACATACATCCCACATAATTATAAGATAAACAAGAAAGAATAAAACTATTACATGTAATGATCAGGGCTGTATTGATTCATTGCAACTTTTCCAACCAAAGCTCTTTGTCCTTGAGAATATGCTTCGTCTGCTAAAATAGCTGAAGATGCCTTATGAATTGTTGCAAAATAACAAGCAGTAGTTGTTCCACAACTCAACGTTCTGTGCTGAAATTTGATACACAATGATTAATATATAAATATGCATGTATAGAAATAACGACTTACAACTACTTTCTCATACACAGCCTTAGCAAATACTTTATCTTTGAATTCAGTTTCAGTGGGAAAAGTATAAGCATTAAGCCATTCCATGAGAGGCTTGTCTAATCCTAACCCAATGTTTGGGACTTGAGGAGCATGAATATGAGTATCAATAAATCCAGGCATCAAAAATTGATTTTCTGAAAGTTGAACTTCCACAAAATATTTTTTATGTTCATAACTCCACGATGTATAGTCCGCCTTACTGCCAATCGCTATAATCTGATGTTTATATAATTTTTTATTAATAATATGCAAATCAAATCAAGTTTAGCTGTCAGATAAAATGTTGAATTCCTTTACCTTGCCACTTTCGACTGCAATAAATCCATTAAGAATTGTTTGAGACTCAGTAAATGAAAGGGAATGAAAAATGTTTCCGAAATATGCAACACGACTCATATTGTCTATTGCCTAGTTAATAAAAAATAATTTTTAAATTATCTACTCTTAAAAAATAAGAATTTATGTAGATGTATACAGTAACAGTATAAGCTTGCGACTGACGTATGTGTTTATTTCATTCTTGAATTTCTATTTGTACGTAATAATCAATACGTAAAATTTATGTGCGAGTTTAACCACATGTTGCTTGCTTTTGTATACAAACTGAAACAAACTGTTTTTCTTACCGAATATTGTTTATTAAGGATTAATGAAAACATGATTCAAACTTTATTTTTGGTATTGTCAAGCTTAAAATCAATAATTTACTAATTATAGTTTTTTTTCTCTTCAAATTATTGCCAATCCATATCTTATCTTATCGAATTCATAAAATATCTTATCTAAAGCGATTATTTCTTAAGCTTAAAAAGTTATTAGGAGAAAAAAACAATCCAAAACTGTGTCATCTCTTCCAAAATTAATATTCTTATTCCTGACCTAGCCTAATGAAAGAAAATAAAATTTTATTAATTAATACAGAACGACGATAAACTCATTAACATGCAAATTAATTGTTATGCAGACTCCAAAAAATCGTGCTGAAGATTTTAATGATTTAGTATAATTTTAAAAATAAGACCAATTGAATAAATTTTGGTGCCATTGACTTAGCTGTTATGTTTAAAATTTATTGGAGAATAACATTTGTGAGTCTGCAGACTCTGAATACAAATAGTATATTTTCTTTTTGGACATCATTTGAGGACGAAAACTTGCTATCCCAAAAATAAATGTTCAAAAAAAGTTGTCGACACTTTCATATTACAATAATAAATATAGATACGCTTCTGGTTAATTTAAAGTCATGCGAATGGAAACAATTCAATTACACGACAACAATCTCTTACCCCTTTTATATCCTCCTTTTGTTTGTCTGAATTGAGAATGCCGAGTGAAAATTGAGAAGCAACAGAATTGGGAGAGGCGCATAGAAATGTATCATGTAAGCAGCACATGGTTAAAAATTTAATGTCATCTTTTATGGGTATAAAGCTGAGTCAAAAAAATAAAAGATAGTGAGAGTCGATGAGTAGCTTCACAAGAGAATGATTTTCCACATCGTTTATTATGAAAAACAGTAAGTAAGGAAGAAGTTTTTCATCTCATTGAATGAATACTGATATAAAAGCACATTGTGAGACTCAATTTCCACATCATTCTCATTTTGATATTAGTCCTGTTCACTTGTTGAATGTAGCCGATTGTAGTGTTAAAGTTTTAAATAGCTTAGTGATACTGCTAGACTGTCTTGATAAAAATAAACATATTTTATTGATAATTATTTTCTTCATATCATCATCAACTTCACTCTCATATTAAGTATGGACATTTAAAAGGACTTTTCAGTTTTTAAAAAGCTGATTCAAGAGTTATTTTAGCAAAGAGTGGATGCATTAAAGTTTCAATATGGATAGTGAATTTAAGAAAAACCGTTTTGCATTGACTGCAATTATATACGCCACATTCCTATTGGATAACATTTTACTAACAGTAATTGGTAATTAGTATAAACTTTAGGTAAACTAAAATAAGAATTAATTTAATGTATTTAGTTCCAATTTTGCCCGATTATCTTGCATCATTTAAAAATTCATCGTCAACTCAAAACATTCCGCCGAGTGTTTTATATAAAAATTTTGATCTTCATTACATTCCTAATACGATGTTAAATAAGCATCCTGTTGCTGGAAATACGATGAAAAATGTGTCGAAAGAAACTCAACAGCACTTGGTGCAAGGACATGAATTTAATGTTGAAATGGAAAATGAACGAGTTGGTTTATTGCTTGCAATAAAAGCATTTGTTCAATTATTCTTTAATCCAATTGTTGGCAGTGTATTGGCTACAAGATTCGGTTATAAGAGTACAATTTTCTTTGGCACAATCAGTCTGCTGATGGCATCATTATGTAAGTAATAGATTATATCCAATACATAAGATGATTATGTATATAATTAGTTTTTTTTTCATATGCAGTTTTCGCAATGGGAGATTCCTTCCTAATTTTATTGATTGCGCGTGCAATTGAAGGAATTGGATCAAGCTGTGTTAACGTTTGTGGAATGAGTTTGATTGCGCATCTTTATCCCGAAGACCATCAGCGTTCGAAAATAATGGGAATAATATTAGGCTCAATAGCTCTTGGAGTTCTTATTGGATATCCGCTTGGTGGATTCCTCTATGATTTTGTTAGTGAATCTGCACCATTTATCATCATTTGTGGTTTCCTATTCACTGATCTCGCTTTTCAGCTAACATTCTTTGATTTAACGCGAAACGAGGTGATGATGTCCTTTTCTTTAAAAATATTCTCATACTTTTTTTTTATTATGTCATGCATGCATGTTAAAAAGAAAAATCGATAATTCTTCTCTTTTGGTATTTTAGAATGAAATCAATGATGAGGAAAATCGAGTAAAGCATGGATCCTCACAATGGATTCAATTATTATCAAACAAATTGATTTTCTGCATTGCGCTTGCGATATGGATGTCAACTTCGGCTATGGCAATTTTAGAGCCATTACTTCCTATATGGTTGATTGCACATTTGCATCCTAAAAAGTGGCAACTTGGAACTGTCTTCATTCCTGACAGTATGGGCTATTTTCTTGGTACCAACTTTTTTGGAACTTTATCATATAAAGTTGGTCAAATAAAAATGTCAGTTTTGGCAATAATGATCGTTGGAATCTCATGCGTAATAATTCCGGAAGCTAAAAGTGTTTCAAGCTTAATAGTCCCGCATTTCTGCTTGGGTCTTGGCATTGGAGTTTTAGATGTATCTCTGGTGCCATACTTAGCTCGACTCACGGACGCAATTTCACAAGATGAAACCAACGAAAATTTAGACATTGATACAGCATCAAACTACGGAAGTGTCTATGCTATACAACAAACTGCTGTCAGTTTGGCTTACTCAATCGGTAATAATTAAAAAATAATATACTTTGGATATTATAAAAAGTGAAACTATATATTTGTGCTCGTTAGTTCCGTTTTTGGCAGGAGAAATGGTTCAAACTATGGGATTCCCAACTATAATGAGAACATTAGGTGTATTCAATTTCATCTATGGACCAATTTTGTTACTTGTAACAATAAGACATAATTTGACTGTGAGTATGATTTCTACATCCTGTTAAAAATATGTTTTAATTTTGATAATCATCTTGACAGAATGTAACCACAAAGCAACCTGATCTACTGTTGAAAGAAACTAATCCTTCCAATTATAGACGTTTTTATGACTCAATAGAATGAGAACTTCATTTTTCAACTCCTAATTCTTAAAGATGTATTGTTAAGTTAAGCTCATCAAGATATTATACAAAATTATTGAAGCATATACATAAATAAAGTAACATCATTCTAATTAATGAGGTGAGAAACCAAGCAGCAATAAAAGAAGATTAAGGTATTCAATATTAATTTTAATAGGTTTAGCTTTTTACAGACATTAAAATTTTTTAAGAGCCAGCAGTTCACGAAAAACTTACTTTTAAGCTTTTAAATTTGTGTAACGCAATTTCTGCAATAAAAAAACATAAGCATGATCCAATTGATATTAAGTAAACATGAAAAACAGAGTAGAGTTGCTGTAGAGATAAGCTTTTAAGACCATTATTAGGCACTTTTCCTTCTTTCATACGTCTTATATAGATCAAATCATTATCAGTCAAAGCCATATTCATTTGATATTTTGAAATGCCGGTTTCAAATATTCTCATCAACAATTCATTAAAACGTTTGACGAAAGGCGATGTCTTTGGTACGGATGTTGCATAGTAATATTCGTAGGGTGTTTCTTCGATATGTGTAAGAATATTGTTTCCATTCTTGTCAAAGTATACTTTTTCTACATGCTCAATTAAATTGTCTAAAAAAAGCAATGCAAATTTCTTGGATCTGATTAGATCCCCCATATTCTCTATGTCAATAAATGCCCACTTGTTGCCAATTCTTTCTAATTCTCGGGATTTTGTTACAACTCGATTAATAAATTGATGAGCCATTGAGGTATTTTTGAAATTTCCTTCAAATAAAATTGCCATTGGATATGGAACTTTGACAGACAAATCACTCTCCATTAATTCGTCAATACTTTCAATTTGCTTTAATCCTGAGTTTGTATTTAAGAATTCAATCATTTTACTTGAGTAAATGTTTCCAATAATAAGCCAAATAATTATTACACCTCCAATAACCCATCTTGATGTCCAATTTTTAGGTAATTTGACGGATACAAATGTCATTATAGCATAAAACATTAGGTAATTTGTTGCCAATGACTCAAATACGCTGTAATTTTTAATTCCTTGTATTCTATCAAAAATTAATATTAATATTGGAGTAACGATAAAAATTGTGAATATAGCAACTTTTAAATTGATATCAAGGAAGTTGTAAATACTTGCTAGAATATTAACTTCATCCCAATATTTTTTCGGTACAGCAAATTTCAGTTTTGTAGTTGTTGTTGGAAAAAGACATAATGAGTTAGATGTGTCATGTTCAGCAACAATTCTAGCATTTGCAGCAAAATCAGCCTGCTCATATTCGATCATACCCAAGCTTCCAGTAAATGTTTTATTACTAGTTTGATATCCATGATTTATTCCATCTGCTGATTTAACAAATTGTATGATAAAGTTCATGTACTTTGAAAGTATTTTAAGTGCTTCAGCATCTTGAAATTTTAAGGTTTCTAATAAGAAATATCCAGATGAATCCATTTCTCCTTTACAGACCATTAAGAACTGAAATAGCACAACCTTTAATGCGTATCCATTTAAATTACTAAATCTTGTATCTGTAAATGATTCCAGCAGATCTAAACCGTCGCCGAACATGAATGGAAATTCGATTTTAATTAGTTGAGCTTTGGTATTTTTGTTGGTGAATAAATTGTACGAATACAAGTTGAAGGTCTGAAAAAACTGTTTAAATTCTTCATCAATTATTATAAAGATGTCATGAATTCTATATTGATTCCATCCTTTTAAAAAAATCTCATGCATTATATTATCTGATGTTTCTCCTGTTAAGAAGATGAGGAACCTAGTTTTCGGGTTATATTTGCCAATCTTTGGAAACACATCCTGAAGTAAATTCTCAACAGATCCATGAAAAATTAACCCACGTGTTGTGTCGAAATCCATCATTATACTTTTTTTAAGAACTTTATGTTTTGTTGGGATGCTCCTAGATATAAAAAATTAAAAATGTATTAAATAAAGATTATGCGTATGCTTCTTACTTTATGTCTATAAAATGCATCAACGGAAGAGTAGACATGCAATGAAAATCCAAGTGAGTTCCAATATCAAAAGAGGCAAGAGTCACTATAGTTTGCTTATCCTGTTGATAAAATTAATAAAGAACTTTAAATTATTTAAAAAGTAGGGCTTATTGGATCGTTTAAATCCAGAATAAACCAATAACAACACAGGTACTGATCACTAGCATATACCTTAAAAATCTCGAGGATAATTTTTTCACGAATCACGTCACACATTTGATTTTCAATAAATTGAATTTCACAATGTACAGTCTTGAGGACATAAAGAAACAGAATATTAATGACAGCAACTGAATTCATGACGAGTTTTAAACTTTATGTCAGAAGACTGTTGTATGCATTTTTATTTTATACCTCAATGGATTAATTACTTTAAGTGAAAATGGAAATATCATGTCATTATCCATCAATTTTACATATATAGTTTGATGTCACTTTTTGATAAAGAATTGCTATGCATACGAAAATGTGTAAAATTAGTTAATGATAAAGTTATGTAAATTTAAAAAAAAAACATAAACGTGATCCACGAAATTATTGCACCAGAAAATTTTATGAGTTTTAAAATGCATTTGTTGAAGTACGAAAATAAATGAAGCGTTGATGTTCATGATAATAATGTGAGAAAAAATAATCGTGTTTATTATGCAAACAATGCGTTAGATGATAAGATAATTGGAGATGAAAAACACTTACCGACTTTGTATTAATTCAGTTTTAAGTGAGATTTTGAAGATGAAGTACGATTGGAAGCGACCTTTTGATGATGCTAAGCATTATCCACTGATTTATTCTGTTTTTGAGTCAAGTGATGCACCTAATGAAGTCATTTCAAATAACATTTTTCGTATCGAAGATTTGAGTATAGAACGGTTTCCGGAAGCAATAGATTTATTGAAAACTCAGTTTCTCATAGAAAATGCAATGATGAGTTCCAAAAACGTCTTGGGGGATAAAATTTCTACTGCAGAAATTGTGGAATATTGGCGAAGCATTTTGGATCAAAAAATTTCAAATGCATGTCATAAAGATGGATCAAATGAAATAATTGGATTAATTTTATTAAATGTGACAACCGAATCAGAGTATGATTTTAAACCTAACGGAGAGGCATGGTCGGAAATCAGAAGGGTATCGAGGTTCATTAAAGATATATTCTATAACCCATTTGAAAATTATGGGGTCGAAAAGATTATAACGAGTGGAGGATATTATGTAAATCAAAATTATCAGCACTGCGGAATAGAATCTGAGCTAGTTAAGGCCATTTCAGACGTAGGAAAGTTATTTGATATACGTGTATCGTCAGAAATATTTTCATCAACAATTTGGCAAGAAGCAGCATCAAAAAATGAGTATGATGAGAAATTTTCTATAAGTTTTAAAAAGTTACCAAAGTTGATGGCTGAAGGTTACTTTCCAGGAATTCAAGAAGAAAATCTCAAATTGTATTGCAAAAAGTTTTATTAACTTAATTTCCTGTTATAACTCAACGGTTTCTTTAGATTTAAAATAAAACATATGTCCGTAGGAAAATCACAAAGTGTTTTTCATTAATGCGCTAAAATTTAAAAAGAAATTACCATAAATTATTCTCATTTTAATTAAGGAAAAATAATCTTTAATACTTATATTTAAAGCTAGTCTTCAAATAAATTAATAAAAATAGTCATAAAACTATTCCAACACACATTCATCATCGACTAGGAATAAGATAATAATATTTTAATTTAAACGCTTCTATATCAACCTTATTACTTACTTTACTATTTCAAATATTTTTATGACTTTTTAAAATAAATCAAAAAATGTTAAAATTAACGTTTAAAAATTCAAAATCACTTTCAATTAATTGGTGCAATTTAAAAACAGTTGAAATTATTCAATGGTCGAAAAATTAATTACAGGATTAGCTCAATCTCTTGTAGAAAGCGCTGTTGAAATAAAAGCGTAAACAAACACTAAAAAATAAATAATACGAAAAAGATATTTTCATTAATTTTGTGGCTTATTTGATAATTTGATTAATTGTAAAGATAGTATTTTTGTGCCAGATAGCAGTAGAAGTTAGCTTTTATGCTGTGATCCTATTTGTGGTTCGTTTAAACGTAATTAAGAGGAATAAAAACAAAAATCAATAAAAAGTATAAATGAATTAATCTTGCACAGTATAGCAAATTTATATCGGAGAAATGGAGACTAGAACATTCAGTTCAATAGAAGAGGAATGCCATTATTGGAAAGAACTGTCAAAATTATACAGAAAAGAGTAAGAAATTTAAGATTTATGCTTATTTAAAAAAAATATGCTAATTTACTGTTAATTTTTTTTTATAAATCAACTACAGAAAGCTAGACTGTCAAAAAGAATTTGAAGATTTTACAGAGGAATCGAGACAGTTGGAGCAGGAACTTGAGACGACATTAATACAAAATGAGAAGCAACTTCGCGATGCAAATCAGACAATCGATATTTTAAGGGATGAAAATCAATCATTAAGAGTAAGTGCGGAAACGTCATATTACATTATTTCTTTCAAGGATTTTTCACGACTAATAATTTAAAAATAAATATTTAGCAAAGACTCATATCATATGAACGAGATGCTACAGCATACGAGACAAAATTAAATAAACTCCTTGCAGAACGTGACTCATTAAAAAATTACATCCGTGAACTTGAGCAGAAAAATGACGACCTCGAAAGAACTAATCGTGTTGTAAGCGAGAGTGTTGCTGGTTTTGAAGCAATGCTGAATCAAGCTTATGAGAAAAATGCAATGCTTGAAATGGAGATTGATGAAAAGGAACAATTACAAATAAATTTGCAACGATTAATGGATGAAGCAAGAGGTAACTAGCAGCAATAAATTAATTAATAATTTAAATCTATTGCATACAATTAATATTTCAGATCTCAAACAAGAGCTTAAAATACGAAATATTTCATTACCAACAAAGCTTAATAATGAAGTAATTGACAAAAACAAAAGTATGACAGCTTCAAAGAGTAATGTGACAGTGGAGACAAGTGTTAGTAAAATGAACGACATAAATGATAGTAGAAATAATAATAGTTTATCATTAAATGCATCAATGGATAAAACTACTTCAACATTTAACAATACTAGCATGATGGACACAACGATTCATAACATGAGCTGTGGAACAACGACGACGACTGAATCATTATCACCGAAATCTCAAATCGATTCAGGAATTAATAAATCGACACAGAATTCTGTTCTGAAGTGTAAGTTTCTCAAGCTACTAACATGTTGGAAGTGCTGACGCTTTATTTACTGCTCTTGATCAATCAATTTCGCTTAAAAGAACAATTATGTGGCTCACAAATCTTAATTATGTGTTTTATGCTTACTGAATTAATGTTTATTGTGTAATATTAACGAATAGAGTTTAAAAATTTTAAACCAATTTTTTCTTCTTCTTATTCTTCTCCTTCATTTGCTCTATTTCTACCTATCCATACTTCTTCTCTCATCGTTACGACTTTATCTTGCATATATAGATGACTGTACAATAAACAACAATCCAATAGCAGCAAGCTCAAGAGTATCAGCATTAAACATTGTGGCAGACCTTTTAAAAAAGTTGGACGTAAGTTCATTATAACATTCCCCTTTAAAATCATTCACTCATGCATACATTAATTTCCTTCATAATAGAATCTCGAAGCGAAACTAAAGTCATGGAAGACACAAAAATCACCATCACAGAGATTTATTGAAGCAACAGCATCTTTCAATAACAATGAGAATTCATGTTCAATAGAGAATCTTGATAGAAAATAATATATGCGTTAAGAAAATAAGAAACAGCTCGCCTTTTTAAAAATTGTTTAATAAAGCTTTCAATGGATATTGGATATGAGCATGAAACAATTTTTTTTACTTCATTTTCTCTCGATTATTATGAAATAAAGATGGAAAAATAATTTACCTGATTATTGTAAAATAATATTACTTCCAACATTGAAATGCTCTTTAAAATGAACTTTTGTAAAAAAAATTGAAGTAAGACAAATAGTTTTTTGAATGATAAAGAAAAAAAATAATTTAAATTAAAATACAAGCTGCTTATGCTTAATACTGCTTTATACAAAAAAAAATAAGCTTTTCAGATTAAACACAATTTCTTTTGCTGATAGTAATGGACATAAATCATAACATGTATAACAAAAGATTAATTAAAAGTGATTTTCAGACAAGAAAGAACTTTTGAATTTTAAAATATGTCAATTTGATCGTAATGTTGATTGACTTCCGTAGGAAAATTAAATTTTCAGCTCTCATTTTGTTGTGAATTCTTTATGGTTGTTTTTCATAAGTGAATGACCCTTGAAAACTGTTCATAAATTCGATTTGAGCTGATCTCTTAAATCGTCACGGAAAAATCATATAAAGGCATTAAAATATTAAGGATTGTTGGTATGATAAAAGCTATGCCTATAAACATTCGAAGGTAAATGAACCTTTGAAATTTCACGATATTTTATTTCATTTACGCATATTTTTTTTTCTCTGTCGCTTAATATGGTAAAAAGGTTGCATGCAATTGTACAATACAATTTTAGGTGACCTCATTCTTGTTATCTGACTGAGAGTTTTCATTCACAAAGGACTTCCTGCCTTACTTTTCAGTCACCGTTTATGTGTTTAGGATGCAAATTTAAGTTATAAAAGAAATGAGAATGGTATGTTTTGAACTTTTTGATGCTTCTATACTCGTCACTGCTTTTATAATAAATATTTTTATTTTGAATTTAATTTATTTCAGGCATTCGTAAAGTTTGACTAGGGGTGTATTTCGAATTGTAATTAAATAAGTTTGGCTATTTTTAACTCAAGATCCAACTATGAGTCGGGTTCAAATGGTAGTTTAACAAGTAAGGATTAATTTTAAAGCCCTACAACGAATGTCTGAAGAATTTGTCAAAAACAAATTGTAGTTGATGGGTAATAAACGTTTAAACACAAAAAAATAATTTATCATTAATCTACATCAGTTATTGAAAGATAGAGGAAAGAAAGAATAAAACACTGCGGGGTAGGTATGGAAAAATTGCAATTTCCTCCGATGAAGCATAAATTGGAATTTTTCTTTTCTAGCTCTTTTATATTCGATTTCACTCATATGTATGTAGTCAGTCGCAAATAGTATAAGTGTACTATAATCTATCTGTATGTTCCTACTATTCACAATGAATGAATGCACGAATGAATGTGATAGGAAATAGGGAATAAGTCATCATTCATAGTATGAAGTAAATAGCGATGAGAAATTCCATTTTTTATCATTTATTCTGCATGCTCTGCAATTTATCATTATTATTTATTTATTATCCCTTCACGTTATTTGAGTCACCTGAAAAGAGAAATTCTGATAGGGAATAGCAAATTGCTATGAAAAGAAATGCGATAATGAATCAATTGACAAAAATGAAACTCGTGACGTAAGAACTCAGAAAAAAATTTAATATTTTTGTGTCGAACTCACCCTATACTATTTAGCATCACATTACAGCTATACAAAAATTACAGCTGTAGATTACAGATGAACTTACGTCGTTACGTAAAAATCAAATTACAGCTGTAATTGACAGCTGTAGTTTAATGTGCATAAATAAAATATAGCTGTAAATACCTATATATCCTTTTACAAAAATATTGAATAGAAAACGAGGAACAGGAGCGTGCAAAAGTTTATAAAAATCACATTTTTCGTTCTGGATGTTAACATTTAAAATATAAATAATACAAGAATAAAAAGGGGAGATAAAATCCTAAACAATGAAAGTACCCAGCAGAATTTACGAAAAATTACATCAACTGTAAGTACAGCTAAGCACTTGTCAAAGTTATAAACACCATCTGTATTTACAGCTGTATGTTATTTATACACATTTAAATACAGCCGTAAATTACAGCTCTAATTTAATTTTTACGTAACGACGTAAGTTCATCTGTAATCTACAGCTGTAATTTTAGAACAGCTGTAATTTGATGCTAAATAGTATAGTATGTCGAACTCCTAAAATCTACCTAAATGCTTTAATTTTATGTCAACTCATATTTAAAGCGAGAATTTACTGCAATTAAAAATCAAAATACTGTCAAACATTATAAATAGTCTGAATGGATCCTTTCTGTTAAATATGGCTTTTAAAGACGGTTTATCACAACTGACATTTCTCGAAACTTTAACCTGTCAGTGATTTTAAAATTAAAATTTATAATAACTCAGGACATTTCACAGTCAATCCATTAAAAAAATCCGGTCCTCAATAAATCTAGGAAAATTAAAGAAAATGCAACAAAATCAATCGAGTTTCTTTATAGCCTCCAAAAATCATTACAGCTTACAGTCAAATCTAATTTATAAAAATATAAATTGCGATAAATGAAAAAGGATGAAGCTTTCAATAATTGCAACAGAAGATGAAAATCTTCTCAATTTGCAATTGCATTTTACGGCAAGCACAGCTTTGTGTAGCTATAAAAGAAATGTAAATGAAAAGGAGATGGAGGAATATTTGAATCAAGTGATTTCAATTTAAATTTATTTCACTTTGTTGCTCGGTAGCTAGGATAGTAATAGTATAAATGAGTAGAATTGAGCAAAGTGTAAAATGTAATGAGATAAAAAGTCATCCATGCAGCAGTTGAAGATTTAAAAAAAAAATGGAAAGAAGAAAATATGAAAATTTGCTTTCTCAAGTTTTATCCTTTTAAAATACAGTACAGAATAGAAGTTGAAAATAGAGTACAAAATAAAAGGAAGGCAAAAAAATCTCATTTATTTAATAAACCCTGAAGAAGCATTTTAGCTTGCTTACAGCTTGCTTGTTGTACACAATTACTGTTCTGAGCATTTCATTATTTCATAATGAAGGTAGATAAAGAATGGAATGGAAATTTAATAAAAAATGCAATAAATGCAGGAAAATAAAGGAAAGACATTCATGCAATGAGTTTGAAAGAGCAATTTTTCGCTCTAACCGAATCAATTTCCTTCATCCTGGCTGGACATTAAGCAATCTGCAACCATAAGCGGATTATTATTAAAAAAGAAATTGTCTCGACGACAAATGATAAGATGCAATTTTTATCTATATATATACGATGAGAGACTAAGGAAACTGTTGTCATCGTTTTATGCACGAATGCTTTGCAATATTGTCATCTTTTTGGTATGTACCTGAAGTGAATTTTCTTCACTTTTTCATTATTCGCGCTCTTGCAGAATATTAAAGAAATTGATTTTGCATAGCAATTTCTGTTTATGCTCTTGAGCGCCTCAAGTGTTTCTTAATAATACTTGAACACAAAGCGTTTTGTGAACATTCTCTGAATATTTTATGTGTACAGATGATACAATACACAAGATTTCTTCAGCAACAAAAGTGAGAAAATGATATTCAAAATTTTCAATTTTACGTATTTAATAATGCAGCTGTGCGACTGCATGCAATCTCTTTTGACAATAAAATCTTTCAAATGAGTTTAACAATCCTATATTAAGGAACGAAACTATATTTTCTCTTCAAAAACTTTTTTATCCTTAAAAAATTCGAAGCAGCATCCTGGTCCAACAGTCAAACATTTACTGATTATCCTTTCATATATTTCATCCCTCACACATTTCATTATTTCCCTTCTTGTACTAAAAGAAATTTCCAATGAAATGGAATTTGAGAGAACTTTCTTCCTCAAGCACGTGTCCTTCCAATTGGAATGTTAAGGGATATTTTAAATTTTTGGAAGGGGATTAATTTTCTTCTTTCAACTGTACGTTTACTGTTGTTGCTGCTTCTTCTATCATCTTAAAGAGAAAATTTCAAGGTAAATCCAGTATACATATTCTATGTTCCGTTCATAAAATGAGAAAAAGAAAGAAATGGTAAGTTTATTTTATGAAAGGAAAATTTAAAATTCTTTTAGTATTACTTCCTTTATTGTGTTGGGGAAAGTTTTATGAAAATTGGGATTTTTTTTTTAATTTTACTTCCTCCTTTGTTGTCATACGCAGTTTTAAAAGCATTGGCTTAGTACCAATCAATTAATTTTAAAGAAGTTTTCAAGATCTGAGTGTAATTTATGTGTGAGCTGAAATGGCTAAAGATCCAAAGTAGGTGATCAGTTATTGTTTCGTCCAGTGACTAAAGGATTATTTTGACTTTCGTTTAAGTACGAAGATCTGACACACTCTTACTTGTTGAAATTAGCATAAAAACACTTGATTTTAAAAATCAAAGCTCTAAAAACAACAAACTATTTAATCCGTTGCTTACGAATTTTGCATTAATTTAATGTCAAGGTGATGCAATAAAGCCGTGAAAATGACCAAAAAATTCATATAAATGGGAACCGAAATTCCACGCAAGGGAGTGTAGTGGTATGATCACAAA